TTTGCATTCTTCAGGATAGGACTTGTAAACGTTCCTATTGTACCAAGAAAGGGTAGATCATCAGAGAATAGGTGTGACACAGGCAAGCTAACTTGTTAAGGATCGGATGCATGAACAAATCAACATGGCAATGAAAAGGGAAAAGAGTAAGGGAGAGAAGGAGAACGGTGACTCCTCCTGTGCAGGTACATACACGCCAGACGTATGTAGCAGCGGATACTCAGATATCTTTATTAGGGATTTTCAACACTGACCAAGGAGAGAGTAGAGATGGTCACATCCTTGAGCAATGAAGTAAAATCATAATGTTTCATAGTGATAGCATGAGTACTATTTCACTGTTACATTTGCTTGAACAAACAGATAGTTATGTCTGCATTGCACACCATGCCAGATCTTTAACACTGAGCATTATTGTGCAGACTTCAGCAGACAGATATGTTGTTTTGTCTTTGTTCTGCATTAGAGCAGGCTAGAAATGCAAGAGGGGACTTTATCTCACTCTGTATTTCTTCCCAGCAAACGGGGGAAGTCCTAAGGACATTCAGCAACATTCCCATTAGGTCCCTTAAAGGGTTTCGGCGAGACGTAATCCATGGAACATTCAATGACCACAAGGGAACGTTTCATAATGGTCAAGGGGACATCACATAATGGTCCCAGGGGAACGTTATCTTGGGGAATTGTATGTAGTTCCCTGTAAGTTCCCAGGACGTCACTGACGAGCATGTCAGGACCTTTTTAGGACATTCTCAGGAATTTCATTTTACAAGTCCTCAGGACATTGCGTGATGGCCCAAGGGAACATTCTCTGGGGGACGGACCTTTGTCTAGTTCCTTGTAATTTCCCAGGACGTCACCGAGGACCATGTTTTACTAGTCATTAGGACGTTGTGTGATGGTCCTAAGGCAACGTCTCTACAAACAACAATTTGTCATCAGGACGTCCCCGGAATGTCACAAAACAGTTGCCTAATGAAGTCATGATGTTGTGTCATGGTCCCCTGGAGGTTTTGTCTAGTTTCCAGTTTGTCCCGGGGACGTCCCGAGGACATTTTTAGGACATTCTTGGGATGTTGTGTCATGGTCCCCCAAAAGTTTTGTCTAATAATAAAAATAAAAATAATACTACTTCCCTGTTTGTCCTGGGGACATCCCAGAGGATGTTCTTGGGACGTTGTGTCATGGTCCCCTAGAGGATTTTCTCACGTGATGGTCTAAGTTGTACCAAACCATTATACAGTAAGCAGTGGCGGCTCCTGAAAAAATTCTCAGGAGGGGCAATTTTTCTGATGATTTAGGTGACCTACACACATTTTAAAAAAGATATGTCCAGCAACAACATGAAGACAGGGGCAGCATATAAGTCAATACCAGAAGCATTTATTGACTGATCTGGGGAGATGGATTCCAGTTTCTGTGACAGATTATAAATAATCTCTGATGCCTTTGTTATATTAGCTTTTGGTTGAATGTACTGTCGTAGTAAATATATAATGTTATAGCTTGGTCTGACTAAAATCTTGTGCATGACCCATTTTGTGTTGGGCGTTTGTTTTCAATCAATGCTGTTCCTATCCTATAACAATGGACAAAAGAGTCCTATCTTGTCAGCCTTGTCAGCAGGTGGCCAAGGACAACACCCACGCCATAGGTCTCTCAGTTCTTCCAACTCACGAGTTCTTGCTCTGAGGACACACACACACACACACACACACACACATCATCACTGATAACACACACACACACACACACACATCATCACTGTTAAACACACACACACACACACACACAAAAATCCCCTCTCTTTAGGCTGAACATTTGAAGACAGAGAACCCGACTCAGAGCCAATGCAACAGTGGAGGGGACCTCGCCCAACTCATCAGGACCAATCAGAAGATCAGAACTACTAGATTCAACCTACATCATTTATTGTATAAAATGTCTGCACACAATGTTTTCGGGGCTCTCTTCTCCCTAAGAGTTTGACGAACGAGTCCGTGCACGCGATTCCAGATATCTTTACCTCTGAATAAACTGCCTTTATTATACCATATCCACCCTGTCCAAAGTCTCTACTTGGTCTCAGTTCTCCAGTAAACTTGTGATTATCAACAGTACACAACGGTAACAAACAATTGGGGGAACTCACGGATGACACAAGTTCAACAGAAAGCAGTTCAATGTCGGGGTACAGAGTCGCTCTCTTACCAGGATCGCGGTCCGCTCTGACCAGGGTGAAGCCGGCCGGCTCCACTTCTCTGTCCGGGACTCTGTCATCCAGCCAAGTCTCCCAGCTGTATTGGGATTCCGCTGCCAGCAGCGTTTTCATTATTTAGTCCGTTCGTAGCGGGTATGTACACGATCAACAAGATCAGTCCAAAACCAACCACTGGAAATCCATGGTTGGCAGAATGTTTGTAAACTAAGTCTACAAATTAAAAACATAAAATAACGCCACACTGCAGGTCGCAACAGAGACGCTGCTAGCCGCTATTGTCTTAGTTACGTTCATGGTTACGTCACGTATGACGAAAGCGCGTAAGTGCAAGCCCACAGACACCCATAGAGAATGTATTGAGAGCTTTGAAATTTGAAAAAAATAGATTTTACATGACAGGCTATGAGAGACTTCTGGGCGATTTTCAACCTGACTGAAATCGCCCCAAAAACGGGCGGGGCCATTTGAAGCACGACTTTAGCCTGATTTGACATTTAGTGGCAGTCAGATCAGATTACAACACTGATAACTACTGTTGCCGTGATATAATTGATTAGAAAAAAAATCCCTTCCTTTTCCCGTTTGGCAGTGCGTCGCCCATATCGCCCTATTGAACAAGCCGTCCAAAGTGGTATGTTTTTTTTTTTGGTAAGTGGTTTGCTGTTCTGCTAAAATATCATTAAAAAATGTAATGAATGACAATATGATTACATTTGACATAATCACTTAGTACTGACTTTTCTATATGACCCCACCTGGGATTTGAACTCTCAACCTTTAGGGTATGCTGATCTTTTCATTTCAGAAGTCCCCTACACATTCCTTACCTATAATACATGTCTGCACTTAGCAAAAGAGTGCCATCTGCACTTCTATTTTAGTTATCATTTAATCTAACTTTTCTGTCATCATTGATTCCATTTAGTTACAGGTAACGGCCAAAATAAAGGAAACACTTGTGTAAATGAGGGACACACTCGTTTCCTTTATTTTGGCAGTTACCGGTATTTCAGCTATTTGAGTTTGGGTTTTCAGTATAGTTGGTCTAATGTTGATGCAGAATATTATTCTGTTTTAATGTTACTCCTGAATCAATTTGATACATATATTAGTTTTTTCTTGAGAGTATTTTTAACAGAGGTGAGATTCACTTTGAAGTGTAGGAATACAGGTGAAATCAGTCAATCGCACATACAGTACATGGTGCGTAACAGGAAGATCAGAATGTGGTGAACCAAGAGTTTGTGAGGGCATCCCAGGTGAGGACATGTTTATTAATAATTACTGTATAAATAAACCTACACAATGTATGTCGAAGTGTGTGAAATATGTAAGTTAAAAGCACTGTGTGTGTCCTCCTTGATGGGCTTTGTAATAGTAACAAGGTCTGCTGTGTAATGAAACTAGGGTGCACGTGCCCTGTTATTTTTTGTTGGGGAGGGGTCTTTGCGACCATCAGGTGATGTCCCCAGGACAAATCGGGAACCTCTAGGGGACCATGAAACAACGTCCTAAAAATGTCCTCTCCCAGGTTTCTTTAGCAATTTCGAATCAGAATCACCTTTATTCGCCAAGTTCATCTACATTTACTAGGAATTTGACCTTGTGAAATGGTGCTGACCACAATGAACAGAGGGAGACTTGTTTCTGTATATAACCAACAGCATTGTATGTGGATTTTCAGGATGACGGTAGTTGTGCATATCATAAGTGTTACTTAACCCTTTACACTTGTGGGAATTGGCCTATATGGATAGGGATACATTGAAATGTTTCTTACAGAAGAAATATGAAATGCATAGGCATGGTAGCAATTGAAAGGGAACAGTTTGGAGATTATGGGAAAATTATTAGACCAGTTCACCTGACACAAGACTGAAATTAACATTACACTGGTGATGTTATGTGCATTTGACATTTACTGTACTTTTCGCCGCATTTGTTGATAACAAAATCTGAAAATACTCTGGATACATTCAGTAACATGATAAGAATATTCCTGGAAAATGTGGGGTAGGTGCAACATAAGTCAAAAAGGGTTTGAGTGAGAGGACTAACTGGTGTCTCCAAGTCGCCACACACCTCTCCAACGTGTGCACAGTTGCAAAGTAAGTTCAATGCACTTTTATGACCTAAAGAATAGTCTTCAACAATAAGGTGATCTCCTAGCTGTGCCGTTGAGGAACTAGAGCATGCGCACTTGTAGTTGTTTGTTTGGAACACAACTCTGCATCCCCACCATCACACAATTACTGTTGTTGTTTACGCAATCCAACCAAAATAAATTGACACTGTATATGAGTTTTATAATATGGAAATGTTAAGTTCACATTTGGACTCAAGGGTGTTTTGCTTGCTTGTAAGACATCAAAGGAGTATTAGTTATAATTTTTCAAAATACATTGAGTCCTCTTAATTTACAGCATTTCCCTCAATTAGACAACATCATTTTTGCAAAAGATGCCCAATTAGAAGGAGGGATGGGGGCAACAAAATGTCTGTCAGTCAAAACCCATACAGAGCTGTGAAGCGCAGAACCAGAGCTCTGACGTCATTTACATAATGTTACTGTACAGCCACTGCGTTCCAATTTAGGCGCTTATCAGTTCCTAAATCTGCCATTTCAACCCATATATGGGTACGAGTGTAAAGGGCTACAGCTGTAATTTACCATAACCCACACATCCTACACAAGGAATAAAGTTGCGTTACTGTCAAATATACCTCATTACTTCCCCCAGTTTATCAAGACCACTAGAGTTTCCCATGGTTCTTTATCATGTGTGATAAGAGCCATCATAAAGGGGTGAACAGGGGAGAGCAGAGGAGAGGGTGTGGGGAGGAGAGTAGAAGGGTGTGGGGAGAGGAGAGGGTGTGGGGAGAGGAGACACAGGGCAGCCATCTGCACCTGCTTCCCTGGCCGGGAGGGAGGAAACATCTGCTGGAGTGTGTCAGAGGCCACCTGTTGGACTGTGTCCTGGTCCTGGCATGGGGAAACACTGCAGCCTTTAGCTGCTGGAGCTCTCCAGTCCACACTGCTGTAGGCTGGCTGGCTGGTTGGCTAACTGCCCAGAGCGCAGGCTGAGGAACAGAGTAGGACAGAGCTTCTTACTGTTACTGGAAGCCTGGTCCTGGTTCTATCCAGTTACGGCTGAACCATCCAAAACACAGTCATCACTCAGCCTGCCTCATTCCTCTGCTCCTCTCAGACGTGTTGTCTAAGGAGAGCTGTTGAAGCTTAAGGAGATACAAAACTCCTCCCATTTCCCTCATACCCTGGAGAGGAACCTACCACCTATTGGTCGGCACACATCTCATTCGTTTATTGACTGTAAGTATTGCAAGAATGTGGTGTGTGACAACCAAGTTATCTCTTCAGTTTTGTTGTAAATGTAACCTATTGTTTGTATTTATACATTTGACATTTTAGTCATTTAGCAGACGCTCTTATCCAGAGCGACTTACAGTTAGTGCATACATTGTTTTTTTAATTTTCATACTGGCCCCCCGTGGGAATCGAACCCACAACCCTGGCGTTGCAAATGCCATGCTCTACCAACTGAGCTACCTCCCTGCCGGCCATTCCCTCCCCTACCCTAGACGACTCTGGGCCAATTGTGCGCCGCCCCATTGGTCTCCCGGTTGCGGCCGGCTACAGCAGAGCCTGGATTCGAACCAGGATCTCTAGTGGCACAGCTAGCACTGCGATGCAGTGCCTTAGACCACTGCGCCACACTGTAACTAAGTGTTTAATTGACTGCTAATTGAATAGAATTTGATTAAGTAGATTCCCCTTTATCCATGTACTCATTCCTGTTATTGACATTGTTTCTGTTTCCTTTAGTAAAACCATTGACAAAACTATATTTTATCACCTGTCAGCTGTGACATTTGAAGCCTTCAAACCTGTGCTAAATAAAAGGTAAAAAGGCTACCATTTCCTTGTACTCTTACGGCCAACCGGCTTCCCAAGTGGCCAAAGCAGCCTACCAAGAGGACTACCAAACGGCCTAACATATGGCCAACCAAATGGCCTACCAAGTGGCCACTCCACCCTACCAAGCGGCCATCCCGGCCTCAACCCAGGCCATCCAGGCCCCAACACAGGCCTAACCAAGCAGCCAACCCTAACCCCCCCAACAAACCTGTTCTAAATAAAAGGTCAAAGGGCTACCCTCTCCTTGTGTTCTTGTAAACATACCCATTGTGTTGCCTCCCACCCATCCTATCTAGTTTCTTTGAGATATTGTTCATGTCTTTTCTCTTGACAACATGTCAGTGGCATAGTTAATATACAGTATTTTGGCTTCAAACACATATCTTTGGTTCTAGTATGAATGGACAAAGTACAGCAGAGAACAATCATACAAAGAGCATATGATTTCCCAGAAGTGAGAGAGAAAGAAGGAGGAAGCTAAATCATCTTACTTTGACACCTTTTATTCAAGTCACTGCACATCAAGAATGCATGCAGAGTATGTGTGAAGGTGGGTAAAAACATGACATCAATGCTCTTCCTGGCTATTCTTTGCAAGCTTGAAAGATTTAATTAAGAGATAACTGAGAAATGTCCCTAAGGCACACAACAGAGTTCATGGGTATTTGAGGACAATTGAATGTGTGTGTGTGTGTGTGTGCGCATGTGGGCTTTTCCTCTTGACTTATATTCAGGCTAATTAGTATGTCCTAATAATAAGGAATATTAAGTAATTGTGGGTATAGAGCCATAGGGAAGTAGTTTGGGGGTGGGGGTGCTGCGTATTATATATATATAAATATTTTTGTATTGTATTTTCAGGGGGGAGTCCGGCTTTAAACTTACTCTTGAAAGTTGTAATAGTAGAATGCACAAGGTGCAATTTCGAAATTGGGAAGTGCATCATCCGTTCCTCTTGTCATGTTAGTCATTGCATACCTTAGAGAGCTATTTATAACTGTCCAGATCAACTAGCCCATGTCAGCTAACATTTTAATGTTTAGGGTTTTTAGCCCATAGATATTGTTGTAAGTTTTTTGTCACTCAAATATCATATGAATACACATTAGACATGGCAAAATATATAGAATTGCAAGAAAATTAGCTTTAAAATGGCTAAATGTTCTTTGCACCCCATGACAAAACGTGTAGAATTGCAGGAAATAAGCTTTAAATCTGCAAAATTCTCTCCACCAACAAGAGCGGTGTGAACAGTTTGTCATGAACAGTGCTTGTGTACATAGAAATAGACGTGGCGTGTGCGCGTGTAGGGGGGGGGGGGGGCTTGGGATATTCCCCAATGCTGGAAGGAGGGCTGAGTTAAAACTTTTGGGAACCCCTGAGCTAATACAGCACTATTAAAGGCCCAGTGCACTACTTCTGTGAAAAAATTATTGTTTCATTTATTTATTTATGTATTTTTTATTAATATATTTTTTTATTCTGATTTTTCAGGGGATGCTGCAGCTCCCTCAGCACCCCTACTTCCCGCGGCTATGTACAGAGCTGAACCCAGGGGTCCTGCAACATAAACAGTAGAGGGTGCTGATAGACACTGTTTCTCTACTTATGTGTAAGACTAACTGGCTACTCAGGTGTCCTGTACCTGCATCTTAGACCACTCTCCACGTACTCTGGACAGCAATGTCTTGTAATTATTAATATTGATAATTGATTCAAGCCACTTATATAATGTCAGACTATTTTTGCAACAACCAACCATTGCACTGTAACTTTGACTTTATTCTGTAGCAACATAAGCAAGCATCGTTTGTAAATAGAAATAGTCCGGTATAAAAACTGTAGCCTGACCTTGAAAAGGAAAATTATTAAAATATATGTGAAGATAAACGATGTTTTCTGATCATAACCTTATCAAACTCGGGCATCATTTGTATGACACTCTGCCCCCGCCTCTATGGTTGTCTCGTGGCGGTTCCTCAACAACTGTTTGAACCAAGACTGTGAATGGCTTGTTTAGCTGTCAATCAAAGAGTCATCACCGGGCTTGGCTTCAGCCTTCAAACCGATCGCTTGCCTTGCTGTTGAGTGATTCGAACGGTGGGGGAAAGTCGTGTGTCTGGACCAGCAGTACGCTGCCTTGGGTGTCCCTAGTACGCATCTTATGTTACTCTTCATTCGGAGATATAGTAGGGAATAGATCACGCTTTCACATCGTGCATGCTAGGAGAAAACGATACATCGCCGTTCAACGGCAGTTTCTGTGAAATAAATACATTTTTCCTAATGGTAGCCTACACTAATCAAACGGAGACATGTGGAATTGTATGGGGATTTCGAATTGCCTGTCAGTAGTGTGTCTTCTTCTGACCGTGTGGACTGAGGTGAGAACTTTTTTTATTTTAATATTGTCAGATCAAATTAATTGATCGGCAGTTGGGCGAGTGGCTCATGCAGACGAGGTCTTATTCATTTTGTAAATTCAATTTTTTAGAATTCCACTTCTAATTAAATTACGTCGTCGACAGTTAAATCATGTGATCTTGGAATTTCTAGTTTGGAGCGTCGTTATGGATGAATTCGTTTTGCATTCTTCTTGCACTGAGTCATTGCAATCAGCGCAATGTATCGACAGTGTTCATACCTGGGTTATAATTTATAATATAGGTATTATCAATCAGCTTTCATGGGTAAAAATTAGATATTTTAAAAAACATACATTTCTTGTATAAAGCAACGTTAATAATATTAAATAATTATAAATTAAAAACACAAATCTCCCAAAACCTCTCCACTTACTAGAAATGTGCAAGTGGATCTAAAACCACTTTGTTGATAGCCTACTCAGCCTGAAACAACTAAACATTTTGAAAAAATGTAATGTTCAAGTGTGCAACATGCTTAATCTACTGCGCTTCATGTATTTATTTTCTATTCAAATGTTATTAATAGGTGTCCCAGTCCTCAGGCTATTTTGAGCTGCAGCTGATTGCGGTACAGAACGCAAATGGTGAGTTGTCGGACGGGGACTGCTGCGACGGCGAAAGGAACACGCAGGATCTCCGATGTAGCAGCGATGAGTGTGATACGTACTTCAGAGTGTGTCTAAAGGAATACCAAACGGAGGTCACGACCACGGGATTGTGCATCTATGGAACTGGATCTACTAACGTTATCGGCGGAAATAGTTTTCAATTTAAGAGCGCCAAAAACAATCAAAACCGAATCAACGATGGTGGAAAGATCGTCATCCCATTCCAGTTCGCTTGGCCGGTAAGTTGACGATACTTCATTATTACAGCTGTTGATCCACTGCATAAGGCCTGCTATTATTCATTGACTCATTAATAGTCAAATATAGTCACTAGTCGAGTCCTAACCGGATGAGGCTGTGAGCTTGGCATCTTTATTGCCAGTGTCCACTTGGCCACTTTGGAGACCACCTCTACGTGTAAGAATTGTCTGTGCGTAATAAGGTGGTAAATGTTTTTATCATGTACAAAGTAATGGTAGGAATGGCCTGCACATCATGTCTAATGTCATTGTTAGAGCTCAGTTGGTATTCGGCCTAGTGCATTCCAGATAATCGCACATGATGCGCATAAACCGGTGTTTATTTTACGCAGCACGAATGTCAAGAACACATACACATTTTACTCGTAGCAAATTACATGTATTAACTTTGGTTTTGCTTTGGTTCTGTAAGTCAATGGATACACGCCTTTCTCCTAAGGTCTGAAAATCGAAATTGCCGACACAGTACAATTGCGCGCAGGGTGGTTGCAATCATTCATTGGTGCATCATCACAGTAACCTAGTAATAAATAATATGCAATCATATTTTTGGCTGGTTCTACCCAACAGAGATGGGCCTACAGTCCAGCACATAGACATGGAAACTCGCAATGCATCAAAGTGATGTTGAACAAATACCTCTCTTCATAAACAAAATGACTTGGCTCATTTTGGAAATGTGAGGATTGTTGTATGGTTGGTTGGCTGTGTGACCTATCCATTCATCAGTCCTCATGGTCAGCTGTCAGCGGGAGGGAAAGATGGAAGTTGTAACCTGGGGCCCTTGGCAGATACAATTACCACTAAGTTGTGTGTGACATAGGGAGTGGATATCAGTGTCACCACTACTCAAACAAGCGAAAATCCCAGAAGATCCCTATCCATCTGAGCTAGGGGATGCCTTTACTTCTGGCCTCTCAGGTTCACTGGTCTGTCCATTATTGGGTCATTGTCTCTCTATTCAGCGGGTCAGTATTATTCTCTATGTATACAGAACAAAAGAGAAGATTGTGGAGCTGAGAGAACCCTTTTAAGTTTTCCATTGTTGTGATTGGCCAGTCAAGGGTATATTAGTGGATGTGCTCTTCAATGTTCAGACATTGGTCTCAAAATAGTTTTAAAAGTCCAGAAGAAGGTAATGTTCTCTCCCATTAACTACTGTAACTGTTGGTTTAGTGTAGCAGCATGTCATAACCATTCAAGTGTTGTGTACTTTTAGTGTTGGTCCTGAAACCACCAGGGTGTGCTGAGCTGGCCAGGTAGTATTTCCTGTGTGGATGAGGAGGTGACTTTGGTTACTGCAGAGTGGGGGTGTTTTGAGACCACCAGTAGGGCACCAGCAGTAGCCTCACACTCCCAACACTACATGACAGCTGCATTTGGTTTGATGCTTGCTGTCAGATGTTTGGAGACCCCTAATAGTTTGTGTGTCCCCCCTCTTTCCACATTTATTTTTACACAAACAATAATAGCTTCCCAGTTTACTTTCAAAGCAAATGACAGACATTTGTAGTAAACAGCATGTACAGCATACTGGAAGGCCTATTTTGTTGACTGATAACCCTAATAGAGTTCATATTATCAAGGCATGCCCTGTAGACTATGATGGCATCACCGGTTGGTCAGAATATCTAGGCCACTAGCTCCTGACATGAATTAAAGAGAAAAAAGCTTTTGTTCTGTCACTCAATGATCATTTCTTCTTCATGATTAACCCCTCAGGCTGTTTGGGTCTTTAGTGACATATTTCTCATGAAATGGAGTGAGGGAGAGATGGATGCTTGTAAAGAGAGAGGCTGCCTCTTCTCTTCCCTCTGTGAGGATTCTGTCACAAGGGAGATATATTTTTAGGAGCCATCCGGCTCTTCAGAGTCACTTAAGACTCAATGTTTGACTCCAGGAGAAAAACACCCATTTAATTTAATTTGTTCCCTGCTCCTCCTTATTCTCCGATGTGTGTTATATTGAGAGGCAATCTGTCCTCCCATCACCCCTATGGGAGTAAATCAAATGGATGAGGGGCTGTTACTCTCCCCATCTATCCCTAGCCATATTTCTTATTTCACTGTGAGACTCTGTCAGCTTTGATCAGGCTGTGCTTGGGTGCTCCAGAGGTAGAACTTCAGCTTGGCCACAAGGATGACCTTTTCCTTTTTGTCTTGTTAACTATCATGTCGTAAAGTGGTGCATAACTCATGCGTAATAACATGACACTGATGATTGGAAATATCACTGAACTCAAAGTGAGAGACCCTTGTTTGGCGAGGATGATGATACATAGGTGCATAAGCTTAACGTCTCTGGTTTCTTGGTACTGGTGCTGATGCTTAGCATGTTATTACACAGCCAGTTAGTTTCATTTCCACTTGCCTCCAGTACCTGTTCACATGGTTGGTGGAGTTCAGCTGGAGCCAGCCAGCCCACCAGGCCAGGAGGACTACAGCAAAGCCCCCATCCCTCCCTCCCTCCCTCTGCTGCTTTGTGTTCAGGGCTAATTAAATCCTAGACTTTATGGATATCATTAACTGAGACCTCCCTCTACACACTGCAGCTCTCTCTCCCAATACCTGACATCAGCAGCTGCCCACTGTAATATCATTGTATGGCTTTTTTTATGCATCTCTGTCTTATACTTTGGTGGTCAAATATGATGATAATTTGTTTTCAGGTTGTATTTGTGATTGTTAAATGGTTAGGAACTCAGGAAGGCTGTTGTAACACTGCTCTCTCCTCTGGGGTGAAGCGGGTGAGGGTTCATCCACATCAGGATTTCTCAACGATTACAACATCTAGAGCCTGTGTCTCAGTTAGTAGCCTTGTTACTCAACCCTTGTTGTTGTTGTAGGGAAGTGAGGGAACCCCGGTACATTCTGGATTTCACTCCAATTTAACATCCAACAGTCGTCATCAGGCCGTTTGTGTGTGTGTGCGCTAATTGCGTGAGAGCCTCACAATTTGCCAATCCAGCGTACATTAATAAATGTTCAGTCTTATCATTGACATGCAAGAATAGGCCTACATGCAGTGATTCCCAGTGATCAGGGTCTTAAACTCATGCTCTGCTGAGTTTGCTCTGCTGTGCTGAATAAGTGGGGTTTTCCCAACACAAAATATCAGTTTTCTGAGCCCTTGGAGAAAAGGAGGCTTCCCCTTTGTCACTGAGCCTTTCAGGCCAAACAATGAGTTTATTCCTCTGCTTTTGTTTGCATGTATTGTGTTATTTATAAAAACAAGTGGAGAGATGGAGAAAGACAGAGAGAGAGAGAGAGAGGATGGGAAAATGTCAGGAGTGGATTGGAGAGCGTTTACATAAGGCCTCTCTTGTGTTGCACTCCGAAGTAGGCCTGTGACATATCTTGTGTTCAACGCCTCACGCTGGTGTTGGGTTTCCTTTTTGAAGTGAGAGGCTGTTGGCAATGGACGCTGACTTATTCCTGGATTGGTGACCATTACAAGGTCCTGGGGAAACTAAAGACAATGCTGTTCTGTGGAGAGGGACAGCAGTTCTAATACAGGTAGTGTGTGTCACAGAGATTGAGGGTATGTCAGGCTTAGTCTTTATCAGGATATTATCATGGGCACTCGCTACTTGGTTCATAGACTGTATGTGGAGTTTGAGCATGCTGCCATTCTCCAGAAGTTCTCATTGCTTGTCATCTTGGTGTCAGAATAATCTGAAATGTTAGATTGAAAAGAGATGTGTGTTAATCACTTGAGGATAACAAAAATAAGTTACATTAAAAAAATGTTTTTCCTGTTAATGTTAATAAATTGTGAAAGTTAACCTAAGACCTACTGTACAATGTGGAAAGCTCTTTTCTAATGTGGCCGAAGAAGACCCTGTGAAATAGAGTTTCAACAGCTTGGCTGGGAACAATGAACTGGCTCATTTTGGTCTTCAATGGACACCCAGCAATAAAAGGCTTGATTAGATTTGTTTTGATTTGCGGAATGAGTAGCCTGTGTATGAGTATCCTGTGGAGGCTGTTGGTTAGGAGAGGCCTTCCTTAGAGCAGGGCTTTTCTGTTAATAATGTGCTAAATAAGACAGCCTCACTGTACCCTACTGGGTCCTACATGTTTTATTCATTTCAATATCTTAACAGGTGTGAGATGACAGGTGTTGCTGTTTTTCCCCCTCTCATCTCAATTCTACTAAAGTCGTTAATTGGGTGTTAAAATGATGTTGGGCATACTTTCTGTGAAACCATATTGCTATTAGTGTTAAAAGATAATGTTGAGTTGAGTCATTTTGATGTAGAAGACCCCTAGTTAAAGCAGCACCTGTGTGTTTGCAGTGTGTTAGGACACAGGCGATTGAAGGGGGACAGTCATTTATTCATTGAACACGTGAAGGCAGTGAGGAGTGGGCTAATGAAAACTCAAATCCCTCTGACTCTTATAAATTGGCTGGGAGGTGTCAAGTATCTAGTGCTACGTCTGCTGCCCCTGCCTGGTCCATCAGGTTACACTACAGACACCCCACAGCCCCACCCTCTGCTCCAGCCTCTCCCAGCCTCCAGCCTCTCCTCAAGGACACATACACACAGGGAGCCCATCAATTCTGTCTGGAAGTCAGTCATTGTGACATTTCAGATTGATTAAAGGAAGATTGATTAAGATATTACACTGTTATTATCCCTTATTATCATCCCTTCTCCAGCCTCATAAATCATAGCCAGTCATATTTGACTGACAGGGGAAGGAAGAGAATGGGAGGCGGTAGTCTGATTTGTCACTCACAGCCAAACCTTGTTTTCCTGCCAGAGTTATTGGAGCCTGGCCGGGCCAGTAGAAGTGGGGAGGCTGGGGAGGCAGGGCTGGGGAGGCAGGGGAGGCTGGGCAGGCTGGGGAGGCAGGGGAGGACAGCAGAGGGGCACGGAGGCAGCCTCTCTTTGTGTCACACCCTCCATTGTGTGATTTCATTTAGCTCTGATGGTGGTAGATGGAGTATTATGATGTATTGTAGACTGAGTAATACATCACCGACTATGGTGATGGGCGGTTGTAGGTGGCTCAGGTCTTGACCTTTGTGTACTCTGTGGCAGTGTGAAAGACACATGCCTGTGGTCAGAATGTGCCTCCTCATCCTCTCTTTATGATGAAGGGGGACTGTGTCATAAGTCACTTCTGGGGGGGCGGGAGATCAAGGACTGGAACGAGACTCCTCTGCCTTCCACATACTCAGCAGTTTAACATTCTTAGAATCCAAATTACAGAAATGTTTTGCTCCTTTTTCACCTGTTTGAATGTTCTCATTTTAAGTCAATGGAGATTTTTGGTGAGCTTAGGTCAGCTTTGTTTCGCTAGGTGTGGGTGTGCTAGGTGTTTTTTAGGTTGACCTCATAAAAGGTTTCTCTGTAAAATGACAGACCAAAGTCTACAACTCCCCTCCCGTCTAATCTGACCAGTGTATAATCTACCTTTCCAACCTGGACCTGGGGCATGGGAACTCACATCTGCTGGACTGGCCCCTGACACTTGACAGAAAGCCAACTCCTTTCTGGCTTTGGTGTACTGATACCCAAATAACTCCCCAGGAGTTTCAGTTGAAGAAAGCCTGCTGCTGTTAGATTTTGTATTGTGTCAGTATGTGTGTACCTTTCAAGGAAATGATATCACTGTACAATAAGTACATCAGCGAGTCTTGAGCTAACAGCCTAATCACCTGTGTTGTATTGGAATGTGTTCGGTGCCAGTCGGTGGTTCAAAGTAGATGTTTATCCCCACAGTAGTTGCACTTGTTAACTACCCTCAGGCTGATATCCAGCTAATCAGTGACATCAGTGTGGGAACCAGAGTTATTTTCCCACCAGCAGCATCCACATTTACTCACAAACTGTGTGTCATCATCATCATCATCATCATCATCATGTGTTCCTTATGTAATGCATTCCACATTCTGTAGGAATTTGCATGTGTCCGTGACTGTGTCTGTCTGTGTGTCTGTCTGTGTCAGTGTGTGGGGAGTATGAACTCTAATAACCCCCTGATGATCCCCTGTGTGTCTCTCTTCCAGGGGGCGTACACTCTGATCGTGGAAGCGTGGGACTGGGACAATGGTACACATAGCAGCAGTGGTAAGTACAGTACACTTCAGCTTTCCAGGTATTTACTACGACATGAAAGGAGAGCCGGCCAGGCCTCAGTGTCTCCCATGAAAATATGTCGTTAGGGGTGAGGGACGTATTTAGAAGTGACAGAAGGGTTCTACACTAACTTTTTCCACTGGTGGCACTGGTTTTCCACTGGTGGCACCAGCACATGATTTGGTGGCACCAACTATTTATATATGTTTTTTTTACATATACCTGGTCTGTGTTCCATAATGTGCCTGCATTTCAAACAGAACCAGGCTAATAATGACTAGCCATCTTTTAAATTAGCACCCGATGAAGTCTGTCCATGTGGTAGCTAAGTCAGTCTCGCCATTTCCAATGTTGTTTTAAAATGAGAAAGCGACCTAAAACCGTGTTCCCTTTGTAATGGAACACTTTGTATGGAAAACCAAGTTGAAGCCAACATTCGATGTTGTCTTACTCATAATAACTGCACATAGTTTTACCGAAACAAGCGCAACCATCAAACTAGCTCAACACCCTTCAATTGAAACATTGGGAAACAAACGAAAGCTCTTACATCTCTCATAAAAACTGATCAGAAATGAAATCACGGAATAATTATATTGGAGCAGTAGAATTTCAAAATCGGCTACCATAACTTCAATGACTTTTCAAGGACCAAAGAGAGGCGAGATCAATGGCTGACGTAACCTGACAAGGGCTTTGTGTTTTTCCCCCCGGTAAACATGCGATACACACCAATCCAAGATTCTGTAACACACTCCTGTTTTCAGTGCTGCATAACTTAGCCTTGAGAGTCAGCTCTAGATATTCACAGGAACAATGCATCTTCACACAAAGAAGCTTCATAGCAGCACAAGAGGAAGAAAAGTCCCCAATGCAAAGCCCTGGCTCTAGATTAAAATGGACTGTCAATTTGAGCTGCCATAGACCAACCACAGCAAACAGACCCATACAACAACCAGCTCACCTCTCTGTCTCAGTGTTTGACCCCTCAACATGCATGTGCACTATGTCAGGTCAGTCTGTCAGCTGTCATCCCTCCACTTTCAACTCAGCTCACTTTTAGTGGTGGTAAGTGAGCACATCAAACCTTTGTCCCTATACGTCACAAGGATTTATAACACATGTTTAATCTGTTGATCTACACAGTCATTGTCTGAGATGCTGTGCATTCCTATGCTGCAGGCTGGCCATTCATATTGCCAGGCAAGTTCCCGCCCTGCTGGCCTAAGGGACGGACTCACTGGGAGACTGTTTATGCTTCATGTCCATGTCTCTCTATAAAACCTGTGAGCACATCATCTCGTTAAGCCATTCATTATGGACCACAACTTTTTTCTTTCCACTGATGTCTGTCTGCTAATTACCGTCCCAGCAGCTGCTGTGCTACTGCACGCCACTTCATTATCGCAGCCTGGACACTGACAGGCAGCCTTGACACTCTGACAGTCCTACTGCTGCTAAATTAGCCTGGACACTGACAGGCAGCCTGTTACAGGGACTAGAGGTCTTCAAGGGTCCAAAAAGTTGGACCCGTTCTGAAAGGGATCCGTGGCTTTCCCACCCGACCCAATATGCATAAATAATATTTTTTTAAACGGAGACCCGTTCCGGACCCACGGACAGTCAGACCTGTTCTGAAAAGCCCTGTGGAAAAGCAGACCCAAACAGACCAGTGCTGGTTCGGATCCGAGAGACCCGTTCAGATCTGAGAGTAGAGAGAGAGAAAGAAACCCCCGACTCGGCGCTGCCAGTGGCATCAATAAACGAGTGATATTGGCCAAATGATCCACAATTACTTACGTGTCCTTAAAAACTGCCTATAACAAATGACCAAAAAAAACGATTAATTGTGTTTCGATGTGTAGCATATTAAAAACTGTATAGCCTATTGTTTGATTGATTTTTAATTTCCTAAACAAGAATTGTCCACCTCACGGATCAGCTGTCAGAGATTTGAGCACTAAATGCATAAAGGCCTATAGGCCTAGGCCTATGATATGAATATTAAAAAAATAAATATAAAGGAAGAGAAGCTTAGGCCTAGCGAGACTGGAGAGACTGAGAGAAAGATAGAGATATAACGGCGCCATGTTCCTGACACCAACATGCATTCTTTATCCTTTTCAGATAGGCTACTATCATACAGAAGGAGGCTAATTCATACATTTTCTATCAGAATATTGTTTATAAAGATAAGCATTATATTGTTAAACTAAAGGAGTAACTCTGGTAGGCCTAAAACATTATTCCTCACCAAGTTAAACTGTCGTAGAGAGTTGGAGCGCCGGTGCGCACTGCCTTCATAGGCCTGCAGTAGCTAAGACTAATAATAGCCATACCAACCTTCACAAAAGTTTCGTAACTTTATTAGGGTAATATCAAAAGTAAGTCAAGTCATTGTTTATCGGGAAAATATGAGCAGGTTATTGTATTGCGGTGTTAAATTTAGTTTTGCATCTTGCCTTCTTTTTCCTTTCCATGGTTAGAGTGCGAGGAGCCCTATATAGGCCTACCAGTAGTTCTATTATATTGCGGCAAACACAACATTACAGTAGGAACTTAATTTGGCCAATGAAAATGGCTTAACAGAATTAAACAAAACACTTGCTGCATATTTAAACTGACCTTGTTTAAACTTTCACAAAAGTTTTGAAGTTTTGAACAGGCTATTGCAGGAATTGCCAACAAAGGCGAGCTCCTACCGTATGCCTACCCAACAAATGACAGCAATAGGCTAATGATATTTATTTTACAACAGGCCTACTTTTAACCTATCTTAAACTAAATATAGAGCACAAAATTAAAAAGACAGTTCGAACTTAATTTAGCCAACGAAATGAAACAAAACACTTTTTGCATATTCAAAGAACTGGTTTAGATTCTTAAATAGGCCTACAATAATAATAATGATATACAATAATAATAATAATGATAAAACAAATTAGAATAAATACGAAAATAAATAACTAAAGTTAGAAAATTGCATCAAACCTGAATAGTGAGTTGCACACAGTCCATTTGGCCGCGCGCCAACCTTCTTCTCATCTTTGTCCACCCACGGAGGACATTCCCCTTGTCGGCTTCTTTTCACTGTACACTTTCTCCTCTAACGCTTGTGTTACTTCAATGAAAAAGGCCTCTATCTTCGCAATCAACAGTAGCCAAGGCCAAGGCTCCTTTCACTCACTCTCGCTCACTCTCCTCAGCAGCAGGCGCATGTGAGGTGAGTGGCCGGAACCAGTTTCAGCGGGACATAAGCTAAACATTTTATTGAGTTGCAATTGGCTGACACAGAAAACAAGCTTGCAACGTTCTCATCACCTCACACATTAAATTAACAGAGGACGGGTCTAGTCGGTAAATCAATTTTAATTGCACATACCGAGACCCTTAGCAATTATATGAGACCCAGCCCAAATCCGAGACAAAAGTCAGAATTAGGACCCGGACCCAGACCCGCTCAGATCCCTGGTTGGATCTTGGAATTTTGGGTCTGTTGGACCCATAAAGACCTCTACTCTGGACTGCTGCTGAGCCTGGAAACACTGATAAGACAGGCAGCCTGGACTGCTGCTGATGTAGTCCGCAGCGTGGCTGTGAACTGTATTGGTTTGAGAGCACTGTATTGGTTTGTAACAACTTCTATTTTTTAAGCCTGGGCAGTGAGCAGTGGGTTGGATAGGGCAGTGGGTTGGATAGGGCAGTGGGCTGAATAGGGCAGTGGGTTGGATAGGACAGTGGGCTGAATAGGGCAGTGGGGCCAGTGGGTTGGGTAGGGCAGTGGGCTGAATAGGGCAGTAGGGCCAGTGGGTTGGATAGGGCAGTGGGCTGAATAGGGCAGTGGGTTGGATAGGGCACTGGGTTGGATAGGGCACTGGGTTGGATAGGGCAGTGATCTGAATAGGGTAGTGGGGGCAGTGGGTTGGATAGGGCTCAGGAAAAATAGTCTATGTTAGGGCTGTTTATCCTCCAGGAAGCCCCAGCGACTGGCTCTGTGTTTAAACACTAAACAGACAGGCTGCACCATTGTTTCTTTATTAGGTGGTGGCATGGCTATTAGTGTTAGTGTTTCTTAACACACAGTTTAACATCATCAGAGAACAATAGAGGGGATGGATAAATCGAATATGGTCAGTTGGCTGCTATCAGGAGTACCGGTAAAATACTTTTAGAAAAGGTTGTCTTGAGGAGTATCTTGTTAATCAGTTAATGAGTGAGCTAATGTTACTTGACTACTAACGTTGTGTCCATATCTAAGTTTAGCATGCTGAAAACAGCCTGACAACAGACATTGGCTTACGACAACCATGCCACTAGTCACGCACGACTAAATTATCTTGGCTGTTTGAAAACAGACAATTATGTCGCTCTTGACTTGGTCAAATGCTCGTTGTTGAAGCCCCCTCATTGTTTGTGTAAGCCTGTGTTGTAGTCACCACACACACCCCTCCGCCTGCTCTCCCTAGTAACAGCGGCCTCTCTCTGAGTGTCTCCTTCACCGCTGAGAGAGCCCATGATTGGTCTGTATTTTTATATCTAATTGCTGGAAATGAGCAGAGTGAGTGCTTGAGTTTTCAGGTGGCAGAGAGGGACTGATAATCTGTGCCAGTGTGTTAACTCGCAGTAAAATTTAGAAAATCAGGACAGCAAGTGAATATTTTACCAGTTTTCAGTGTTTTTTAACTTCTTTATCAAGAGCAAACTTTGGAAGTAAGCGCGGCTGCCTGGACTTTGTAGTAAGTAAGATAGAAAGAGATAATAAAATAGTAATATCTGCATAACTGAAGGTAGGCTATACAGAATCCATCTAATGACGAGGCCTAGAATTCCTTAGAGTCCTGACTACCTGTCCAATATCAGCCCACCATCCAACTAGGGGAGAGGACCTGTTGTTTGGCCCCTCTTCAGTGCCCAGTCCTGGGCTGTGGATGTGGCTGCAGCAGCCAAGCCAGTTGGATCATGGTGTTTCTGTTCCTTGAGAAAAAGCTAAAGGCCCTTTCCTATGTCGCCCTTCCTCGTCTGTTCCCGTCTCGTATTATTTCCTCCCTGGCTCCGAAGGAGTCAGAGCTGGATTTCCTGAGAAAGGGGAGAGAGGGACAAAACGCATTTCACAAGCAGGAAAACTTAAAAAAGCATTTGGTTATCAAGCTCCTGCAGCCCTGGCCCTACACCCTCTATTTGGGTTTATTTTCCTTCTTCGTTTTTCTGTCATGCTCTTGAAAACAGAGGTGGTGTTTGACCTTGCGTCACCCTCACTGATCTCCAGCAGCAGATAAACAACAGTGTTCTGTCAGATGAGTTTCTCTCCTGCTTCTAGACACTACTAGGACTTGTACTGAGGCATACGGGTTCTAACATTGAATAAGGGGCTAGCCGGAATCCCCCTTTTGACTATTAAGTTGTATGCATGTTGTCAAGTGTCCATTAAAGAATGATGATCAAATCTCTTGGTTTTTGTTTGTTCATGCAGGTGAGGATCTGTTGATTGAGCGAAGTGTCCGTAAAGGAATGATCAACCCTGGAGATGACAGACAGACTATCCAACACAACGGTCCTACAGCCAACTTTGAGTACAGCATCCGCATGCGCTGTGACGAGAACTACTATGGCAGCAAGTGCAACAAGCAGTGCCGGCCACGCGATGACGGGCATGGCCACTACGTGTGTGACCAGTTTGGGAATAGAGGATGTATGGAGGGCTGGATGGGGACCTACTGTACAACTGGTGAGTAGGGGAGCAGCCTACACAGTGAAACTAATCCTTAGATATCCCTCTAATGATATTAGGAATAAATGTGTGAATCCTTTTGTCAATGTTTCACAGCTATCTGCAAGCAGGGCTGCAACCTGCTGCAAGGGTCCTGCAGTGCCCCAGGAGAATGCACGTGAGTCTGGGTTAACCTCTTAAGGATCTGACCCTTTTTTTCAATTTTCGCCTAAAATGACATACCCAAATCTTACTCAGGACCTGAAGCAAGGATATGCATATTCTTCATACCATTTGAAAGGAAACACGTTGAAGTTTGTGGAAATGTGAAATTAATATAGGAGAATATAACACATTAGATCTGGTAAAAGCTTATCATTAGCTTATACACTAACTTTCACACATCTAGATGGCCTGGCGGGGTGGGTGTGGAGCCAGAGACAGCAGGGGTTCAAACTGTAGAACCCAGTTCCTACATTTGAATATAAAAATTGATTTTATCAAACAAAACTATGCTACATTTTATCTCTGGGACCCTCAGGATGACAAATCAGAGCAAGATTACTGAATGGAAGTACATTATTTACCTTCAGAGGTGAATGTATTAAACCAGTTGCCGTGATAAGTTATTTGTTGTTGTGCACTCTCCTCAAACAATAGCATGGTATTTTTTCACTGTAATAGCTACTGTAAATTGGACAGTGCAGTTAGATTAACAATAATTTAAGCTTTCTGCCCATATAAAACATGTCTATGTCCTGGAAAGTTTGCTGTTACTTACAACAGTCATGCTAATCACATTAGCACACGTTACCTCAACCGTCCCGTATACGTATACGTGACACCGATCCCGTAGAGGTTAACTTGATTCTTTGTACCACTGTGTCCATTGACATCCCTTTGACAGAGATTTGTGTCTGGATGTATGGGCTGGATAATGGGCTGGATAATGGGTAGGAGCTCTTTTTGAGTTCAATGAGGATGATAATGATGACACAGGATTGATCGCATACCAGAGCTTGACCCCCACATTCCCCCCCCCCCCCCCTCCCCGTCCCACCTCTCTATGGAACGTAGAGTGTGTTATCCCCCCCTCCAGTCTGATCCAGGACCTATTGTTCTCCTTCCTGTCCCAGACCTGGCCTGTAGCTGTAGCAGCAGCCTGTTTTTCACACAGCGTTTCCTCCCCTCCTCCATCGGTGTTTCAGGGCCCCTACTGCCCATGTTTGCAGCCCCAATCCCCTCTTCCTATCCTGGGCCTGTTTTGGCTGGCACACCCCTCATGGGAGTGTGGACTCCATCCAGCAGCCTTAGTCACGTACATGTTTGTCTGCACGGCTGAACCAACTAAGTATTCCATGTCAAATTATCTTGGAAGACCACCTTCTTGTGTATCTCTCTGATGTGGATACTGTACCACACCTATGGATCTGTTCAATAGGGATAGCCGTGAGTAAGAGACGGGTTGGATTTAGTTCTCATCTCATAAAAGAAAGCATTTTTCATTGAAAATGGCTGGAGGAGTGGAACAAAGATTTTTACAGTGGCTAAGCTAAGAGCCCTCCATTGATGGGTCTGTGGGCGGCAGGTAGCTTAGTGGTTAAGAGCATTGTGCCAGTAACCGAAAGGTCGCTGGTTCTAATCCCCGAGCCGACTAGGTGAAAAATCTGTCAATGTGCCCTTGAGCAAGGCACTTAACCCTAATTGCTCATGTAAGTCGCTCTGGATAAGAGCGTCTGCTAAATGACTAAAATGTAAAATGGTAAGGTCGTTGTTTGGTAATGGCAATGCCACCCTAGCCTTGTGGCCACCATGGTCTCTCCCTGCTCCCACTGTGGCCAGGGCCTCTCAATGCAACATATGGATCCGGTCCCATTCAATCCGGCCGGAATTATTATTTTGGGAGAAAAAAATACTCCAGGCTACTCTTGAATGTCTAAAACTATGTAGAAATTATAATATTATAATGGACCTATACGTTTTCAATTAACTGCCCTTTTTCTGGCCTGCAAATTGCTTTTGATGAATAAATCGGTCAGGAAAAATTCTGTGCGGCCCTCCACTGAATTTTGAAATCCCGATCTGGCCCTCGAGCTACTGTATACACTAAACCTCAGCACACTAACATACAGTTTGGTATATAGTACCACACCACTGCATATTTCAGTACTTTTACACTTGTACAGTAGTAGAGTACAACACAAAGTAGTACTGCACCACGTGTTGTGTGACTGCAGTGCCGTATACTACAGAACATGTTAGCACACAGCACCCAGCAGTACATTCACTCCAGTACAGTATATCAACTAGTAGTGTAGGGTTTGGTTGGTGTCCATTTGCAGGAGAGTGGTCTTAAAATAGCCCAAGGAGAGAAGTGACAGGACAGGTGGGGCAAGGTTACCGCTGGCCTTGGAATAACAGAGTGCTGCCATAAACCAACAGATTAGCTAACCCTTCACCAAGGCTCCCGCTTCTAGACTACCCACCCCTCCATCCCCGTCCCCGTCCCTTGCCCTCTATCTAAGATTAGGAGCCTCAGAAGGGAAGGGGTGTCACTGGTCACCTTGATGAAGACGTTGTGTCTGGCTCCTGATGGAGATTATCTTGACATTTACATGAACACGTACTCGTAGGTATGTCATGTGGTTGATGTAGTGTAGAAGGCCTTGTCCTATGGGTCTTGGTTCAATTAGCTGATCTACACCCCCTAATGGTGTCTCTAATCTGTCTTGCAGGTGTACGTATGGGTGGCAGGGTCCATTCTGTGACAACTGCCTGCCCTACCCAGGCTGTGTCCACGGGACCTGCGTCAAGCCCTGGCAGTGCAGCTGTGAGAAGAACTGGGGAGGCCTGCTGTGTGACAAAGGTGAGACATTAGAGCAGACCAGACCTGGCCCACCGTACATTTAACACATTCGCTACAGTGACCCCTGACCTCACTGTAGTGTCACAGAGCACAAGGTCACCTCTTAGAGCCCCTCAGCAGCAGGTGGTCAACAGAGGTCAGTTTAGATTGACTACTAGGAGCAGGAGATCACTTACAGAGTTACAAGATGGAGAGGAGGATGGAGAGACTACATTTAGCAATGTGTAACAGTACAGAGGTAGGATCTTAATTTGAGCTAGTTTGCTACAGCAGTAAAATAGTCCTGCAGCAACAGGAAATGTTCATTGTTTTGTGGATTATAATTAATGGACATTTTTTGTAGGGGTTGATACATTTTTGATTAGTGCAAATCGAGTCTGACATTTTGTGGAAATTACAAACTTTAGAAGCCCTTTAAAACCTTGAATAGACAACAAATTCCTGCAACAACAGGATGAACAAATTAAGATATGGCATCTGTATGCCTTCATGTCCGACCATATGAAGTCTTGTTATAACAATGTATTCGATCTGAAACATATTGTTTACCATCTTAATCCTTTAGATGTGTTCATATGAGACCGTTAACATGTAAATGTAATCCTTCCTATATCATTCTCTCCAGATCTGAACTACTGTGGGACGAACAAGCCGTGTAAGAACGGAGGAAGGTGTATGAACACGGAGCCAGATGAGTACAACTGTGCCTGTCCTGACGGCTACTCAGGCAAAAACTGTGAGATAGGTGAGTCAGTCATTACGCCTCAAACAACTGATCAAAGATCACAAATTCAATTCTGTCAGTGCCAATGTCCTAGGGTTGATAGTTTACTTGTATATTTTGTTGTGCAATCCATGTCATCCGTCACTTTGACACATCTCTCTCCCCATGTCTGGCCACTTATCTCCAGCGGAACACGCCTGTGTGTCTAACCCCTGTGCCAATAGGGGCACCTGCCACGAGGTACCGTCTGGGTTTGAGTGCCACTGTCCTGCAGGCTGGGCAGGGCCCACCTGCGCTAAAGGTGAGTGAGTCACGATCTTGCCCCTCCCAAAGTGTGTGTGTGCCTCCATGTTTTTACAAAGCTGAGCCCTAACATCACTGTGTGTGTCCCAGACATGGATGAGTGTGCGTCCAACCCCTGTGCTCAGGGTGGGACCTGCATCGACATGGAGAACGGATTTGAGTGCCTCTGCCTCCCACAGTGGGCTGGGAAGACCTGCCAGATAGGTAAGCCTGGAATGGAGAGGTGGTGGGGGGGTCTGTACATTAGCCTATCTTTCAGACTAGAGAGTTCTGCGGGCACAGCCTCTGCCTGGGAAACTGGAGCAAAGCATGTCCAAATGTGGAGAAAATTATGTCCTGGGGAGCATCATTTGAGTTTGCATGCTAAATTCAATTATGTGTTTGATTTGAAGTGAATGTGATATGTTGTGATGTGTTATTGAATCTTGACTTGAAATGTTATTGATATTGCCTTGTTCGATCGTATGCCAGGAATCTCTGTGCTCGTCCAGTATCAGGTTGTTTGTGTCTCTCACCCTGTTGAGCCTGTACTAGTACTATGGCGTGGATACTCATTTGAAATGGGTGCATGCATGTCCATGTAGAAAGCTGGACATGATGTGCAACCCGAGCCAGGTGACTTAAGTAAAGCTATAAATAACACCTAGCCTGGCAACTGCTAGCCTTGGGGACAGAAATAGCCTGACAGGGGGTTATCTTTGGCTACAGACTGGGGTAAAAGGGGTTTGTACTCTAGTCTACACCAAGAGCAGAGCCTCACCCCAACACCACTATTTAGCTCCGTGGAGTAGAAAGTGGAGCGGAAACGCTTTATAACCTGTAAACACGCTGAGGGAGGAACACAAGCTCCATGTCTTGTGTTACGCAGTCCGTTATTCTCAGCGCGCAGGTGGTTCCCCTTTCAGCGAGCGAGTGGTACCTGAGAGAGGGGTGTCAGGTGTCCGCAGCCCAACAGGTGCTCCTCACTTCTGAGGTAAAGCAGTTGTGTTCTGGTCAGTCAAGGGAGAGGGTGTTAGTGACCATCGCCTTGTGAACTGACCACTGGGAGAGCTCTGATGTCAGAGAATAGGTCCATTCAGAAATTGTGTAGGGAACTGAAAGTAATGGTCAGGAAAGGAGGCAGAGCCAGCGAAATGGATGGCAAAAAATGCAATAAAATTCAACTGAGTTGAGAAAGTTCTCTAAAGGCAGGTGTGTAGCCTTGCACTGTAGAGATCTGCTTGGTGGTGGGGCTTGAATGCTGGTTCTTAGATCTTTCTCTGTCCTCTCTCTCTCTCTCTCTCTCTCTCTCTCTCTCTCTCTCTCTCTCTCTCTCTCTCTCTCTCTCTCTCTCATCTCTCTCTGTCTCCACTCTGCAGACGCTAATGAGTGTATGGGGAAGCCTTGCCTCAATGCTTACTCTTGCAAAAACTTGATTGGTGGATATCACTGTGCCTGCTTTCGAGGATGGGCCGGCCAGAACTGTGACATCAGTCAGTATCAGTCAATCATGTGCCTCTGTCCCCTTTGCCTGCAGCTAGCTCTGTCACCTACCTGGGCCACTGGCCACTCCGGTCTGTTCCTATCTCAGGCTCTCAGGCTCTTTCTAGCTGCTTTATTATGTCCTACAAATACTTATCTAGATCCATGGATCGTGTTTTTACATGACTATGAGAAGCACATCCTGTAGATATATTTGAAGGTTTTTGTCGACCTCACTGGCTTTAACTGCATGCACTTTAACCAACAGCATCGTGTCTTCCTGCACCTTGAGAGTTTCTTTGAAGTATTAACCAAGTTGCACATTCTATGTTTTGTTTGTGTATCACATGCATGCCACCCCTGCATGTTCCCCTGTCCTATCTGTTGACCTGTATTAGTAAGTTATCTCTTTTCCCCTCTACAGATGTCAACAGCTGCCATGGACAGTGTCAGAATGGAGGGATTTGCAAGGTAGGAAACTGTATTCAATAAGGCAATCTAGCCACCATGTTTGATGCCCTCCATTCATATTATATCTATGGTTAACATCATGGGTATGAGTGACATATCTTTTCCTTACGCTCCGTACAGGAGGGGCGAAGAGGCTATGTGTGTGCCTGCTCACTGGGGTTTGTGGGCCGGCATTGTGAGATCCAGAGGAACAGCTGTGCCAGCGGGCCGTGTAGGAACGGGGGCAGGTGCCACACCCTGCTGGACGGCTTCATGTGTGAGTGCCCACATGGGTACACTGGCACCACCTGTGAGGTGAGCTATAGTCCTTTCCAGACCTTCGACAAGTCAGATCTTCTCTTTTATACATAACCATGATCTATTTCTACATCTGTCTATCCATTCATCTACCCTTTCTTCCATCTGTCCATCCGTAGGTGCAGAACAACCTGTGCAGCCCTGACCCATGCCAGAACAAGGCCCAGTGCCACAGTTTGATGGAAGACTTCTACTGTGCCTGTCCTGACGACTATGAGGGCAAGACCTGCTCTGAGCTCAAGGACCACTGTAAGACCAACCCCTGTGAAGGTACAAACCAATCTATAAACCTATTGTTGTCATCATAACTCAAAGAACTCAACCCATTGTAAAAGTACTAACCAGGCAGTTCTCTTGTCTAGCCTAAACTGAAACCTGCTCTTAAGCTGCTCAGTCCTCAGTTCAACCTCAAGATCAACCCTCATTTCAACCCAATCCTCTCAGGTCTATCTCACCAACAGTTTCTTGTCGTTCTTTCTGTTTTGATCCCAGTGATTGACAGTTGTACCGTCGCCGTGGCCACCAACGACACACAGGAAGGGGTGTGGCACATCTCATCCAATGTGTGCGGCCCACACGGACGCTGCATCAGCCAGCCTGCTGGGAACTTCACCTGCTCCTGTGAACCGGGCTTCACTGGAACATACTGTCACGAGAGTGAGCAGACACACACCATCATCATCACACTTCATCATCATAATCATCACCATCATCATACCATAAGACTTAACATCCTGGTCCTTACTGTAACACACCAATGACTTACTGTATGAGTATCATCATCGTCTTCCTCATCATCCACATCCTCATTCATACGTCTCTCCTCCCTCACAGACATAAACGACTGTGTGCCGTCTCCCTGTAAGAATGGAGGAACCTGCATTGACGGGATCAGCTCTTTCCAGTGCTTTTGCCCTGACGGCTGGGAGGGCACGCTGTGTGACATGGGTAAGTGTTTGTGTGCGTGTATGTGTCCCTGGGTGGTTTTAATGTACCTCTCCATGGTGTGTGTTTCTCTAACTGATCCCTGGTGGTTGTGTTCCAGATGTGAATGAGTGCAGTAGGAACCCCTGTAAGAACGGAGGTCGCTGTGTGGACCTGCTCAACGACTTCTACTGTCAGTGCCAGGACAACTGGAAAGGCAAGACTTGCCACTCACGTGAGAGCCAGTGTGATTCCAGTACCTGCAGTAACGGGGGGACGTGCTTCGACCACGGGGACACCTTCCGCTGTACCTGTCCCTCAGGGTGGCGGGGCAGCACCTGTAATACAGGTGAGAAACCATTATTGCACAGATTTGCCTATGTCGTTCAAGGAAAAGTCCAATAGCCTGCTCTGGTCCGTAGGCTCCATAGGATTCCTATTGCTTATACATTTTGTGAAAAGTAGTTTCTAAGCTCATCATACTTTATTTATCTTGTCAGCCAAGAACAGTACGTGTGACTCTAACCCGTGTGAGAATGGAGGGACCTGTGTCGGAGCAGGTGATGCCTACACCTGCATCTGCAAGGATGGCTGGGAGGGGCCCACATGTGCTCAGAGTAAGGCACCATTTACTGAACTATTTCCAGGTTATAATCATAAACTAAGACACTGATTGTAATTATGTGTTATCCCCTCTCTTCACAGATGCTAATGACTGCAACCCTCAACCCTGGTAAGTTGAATTAATTAAATTAACCAAAGTACTTGTAAAAGTATTTTAAACCTCTTGGATCCAGTACTGGTTCTATTACAAGTGCTGGCACCTGTTTATGAGACCAAGCCTTCTTATCCCATTCCTTGTACAGTCCCACACACACCCATATTAGATCATAATCTCTCAGTGTTCTGGTTTTAAAACAGGAACACATGACTCCCACACACCGCTCATCTCACAAATCTAATTTAATGCTCAGAGATTTCCCATTACAGTTTGTTCTATGAAGTTGTGTGTGTGAAAGGGGAAGTGTGTGAATCCCTGACTCCTCTACAGAACTGTGCAGGGCCTGACAGCTGGGTATTCCAGGGTCCCGTGGATCAGAGGGACTGAGTGGACAAAGGCTCCCGCCACCACAATGACTGACAGGGGGATTAGCACAGGGGGGTAGTGGGGTGGAAAGAGACGCCCCTCGCCCTATTCTTCACCACTGACCCCTGAGCATGGGGCAGTGTAGGCAGGAGAGGGGGGCTGGGTAGCAGGGGGTATAGGGCGAGCACAGTATGGGGTCAGTTTGGGATTTGCATATGAAGTCTGGACATTGATAAGGGATCAGCTTTAGTGACCACAGTCTCTAGTCCCTTGCCTTGGAATTCTGCTGCTGGGATCTAGACCTGAGAATGTGAAGGCCCTATTGTCTTTGTAGTCTGAGCCTTCAGGCTTGTGTATGCTGCTGCACCTGCGCCAATGTTTCCTATGGTATGGGCTGACGTATTGATGTGTGGTTCTGTTTCCTTCCTCCAGCTATAACGGTGGTGTCTGTGTGGATGGCGTGAACTGGTTCCGCTGTGAGTGTGCCCCGGGATTCGCCGGACCAGACTGCCGGATCAGTGAGTCCCTGGGAACCAGAGGGGTGTGGGGGGTCAGATTGGAGGGGTCAGGGGTGAAAGGGGACAGGGGGAGTTTGAGCTGATTGTTTGTGAGGGACAGATTAGGAAGCCTTTAGGAAGCCTGTCTTAACCTCCGACCTCTCTTGTGAGGAGAGGTCAGCTGTATTCTGCAAACAGGTCAGTTCAGTCTGACATTCTCAGGGACAATCCTCTTTCCTTTCCCCCTTTTCAGAGAGGGTCTATTTTTCACGTGGGGATGCCAGACATGAGAACCTGTTGTGATGATATTATAGCTAGGTACCTTGCAGTAGACTAGAGATATGTGTATAGTAAGGTCCTCTTGTTTCCCCATCAGACATAGATGAGTGCCAGTCATCTCCCTGTGCCTATGGTTCTACCTGTGTGGATGAGATCAACAGCTTCCTCTGTGTGTGTCCCCTGGGCCGGGCTGGGCCTCACTGTCAAGAGTGTGAGTACACTGCAGCTATACACTCTTTAAAAAAAAGGTGCTATCTAGAACCTAAAAGGGTTCTTCAACTGTCCCCATAGGATAACCCATTGAAGAACCCTTTTTGGTTCCAGGTAGAACCCTTTTGGTTCCAGGTAGAACTATTTTGTGTTCCATGTAGAACCCTTTCCACAGAGGGTTCTACCTGGAACCAAAAAGGGTTCTCCTATGGGGATAGCCGATGAACCCTTTTGGATCCCTTTTTTCTAAGAGTGTAGAGAAAATACCTTTATTACTGTATCCATGTAGCGGGTATACTTTCTTCCATTGACCTCATGCGTGGAAGGAAGAGTTTCTAAGGACTGACCCTGATATTGCCTTAGTCCTAACCCTGCTCCTCTCTCTCCTCTCTGCAGTCATAGGGATCGGGAAGGCCTGTCGTTACTCTGGCTTGCAATTTCCTCACGGCAGTCGATGGGAGGAGAAGTGTAATACCTGCCAGTGTGTCAACGGCAATGTGCGCTGTTCTAAGGTGAGCATTGCATGCTTTTATTACATATAGTGATGATGTGTGTGTGTGTGTGTGTGTGTGTGTGTGTGTGTGTGTGTGCTGCCTCCCTGACCTCTGTTTGTGTATGTACAGGTACGGTGTGGCCGACGGCCCTGCCTGCTCCGGAGAGGTGCTCCCGGTCCAGACAGCAGTGCCCCGTGTCCTGGAGGACAGGAATGTGTGGAACACCAATTCCTCACCTGCTTCGCCAAGCCCTGCCACCAGTGGGGCGTGTGTTCCACCCCCGACCCCCCTCTGCCCCTCCACACCCAGTGTGAACCCAACAGTGGTTACCTGGACAACAGCTGTGCCCGCATCACACTCATCTTTAACAGAGACAAAGTTCCACAGGTGAGTGCACGTCATCATCACCTGACTGACATTTAATGAGGTATTTAATTTAAAAAAAGATAAGATCTCATTTGCAGATGTTTTTTAGTAGACTTGAATCTCCGACAACACCTTCCCCGATCCTCTACCAGAGAATTCAAGTGAATGGAATTAGCTAGGAGCTGGCAGTCACCTCAGCCGAAAATGCTAATGGCTATCTCTTATCATTCTTTGTGTGTGTGTGTTTGCTAATCAAAGGGCACCACTGTGGAGAACATCTGCTCGGAGCTGAGGTACCTTCCCATCACCCAGACCCTGGCTAAAGAACGCACGCTCCTCATTCTCTGTGACCTGTCCTACTCCAACAGTGACGCCGTGGAGGTTGCCATGGTGAGTACCTCACCACCCCTATCCCACCTCAGCCCCCCACCTTCAGACTCTGAGCTGTTGCCATCTGCCAATGGTCCCCGCTTACCTCCTCCTTACCTCCCACTGTCGCTTGCAAGAATAGTCACTCTCCCTTCTCTTTTTCAGTTAGCCCTGAGGACCTCACCCCTTTACGTTCTTTCTTTCACTTTATTAAATCACACACTTAATTCGTCATTGTAAATGGGTTCCAGAGTAGACTTGTAAAATTGGAGCCTTTTCTTTTCCTCTTTGTAAAAGTGGAGAGCCTTTTGAAGCGCAACGTCCTTTGCCTGAACATCTGGATGACATTTAGCTTTACTTTGGTACACCTTACTGTTACTGTGGCAGTCTTACACCTTCATAGACTGGGTATAAGGCCTTCTCTTCTCTGTCGTCTCCTCCCTCTCTCATCTTCCTCTCTCCTCCTCTCTTTCTTTCGTCTCTCTTTCTCGCGTCGGTCTCGCTCTCGCTGATCTCTCTCATGCTCTGCATATCTCTCTCGATCTGCCGTAGATCTCTCTCTCTCATCTCTTCTCGACCTTCTCTCTCCCCCCTCGTCATCGTCCTCTCTCTCTCTCATCTCTCTCTCTCTCCCTCTCTCTGGGACTGGTGTGGCCACCCAGGCTCTCCTCTCCAGTCAGACACAGGGGAAATGAGGCGCTACAGGGCACTAAGCCCTTAATGGAGGGGATTAGGCCTTTTCTTGTGATGTAGTCATGTTAGGGGACATACAGGAAAAGGAGTGGTGCGTCTGACGTCCTAGTAGCTTTGTACTGGGTTCAATAATGAAACTCCTTAGACCCTATCAGGCTTGTGCTTTCTTAGACCATTATGAAATAGTCTTGATCTCAACATGATCATGAAATCACATCATTTCAACATAATATGAGTGTTGTATTGTGGATCTGGGTTTGGCAGATTAGTCCCATCCAGTTGACTCTATGTATCTGTACAGATATTCTATAGCGACCCAGAAACGATGAGTCCTCAGTAAGAGGCCTGTAGTCCACTCTGAAGCACAGAGGCTGTTAGATGTCAGAAAGGGGTGAGGAGCTGTGTGTCACAGTTTGTGTGTGTGTGTGTGTGTGTGTGTGTGTGTGTGTGTGTGTGTGTGTGTGTGTGTGTGTGTGTGAATGAGCTGCTGCTTACCCAGAATGAAGAAAGAGGAGTGTTGCTGACTGACTGACTGGCTACTGACTGACTTACTGACTGACTGGCTACTGACTGACTGGCTAGCCAGGGAGCACCAGGGAGCCACATCTCTGCCTGTTCTCCATTGTTCCTCCTAATTGAAGTGCACAGCATCCAGCTAATCTCCCTCTGCTCCTCCTGGACTCTCTGGTCCACTTATTAGGCAATTAACTACACCCACTGTGTGCTCTACCGGGGGGGGGGGGATGTAAGAAGTTAGTGTGAATGTAGGAGTGAATCCCTCTATCCTGTTGTGTTGACTCACCATCTCTCCTCCTTTCTCCCTCTCCTCCAGTCGTATGATCAGGATGGTCAGGAGCGGAATGGAGACCGTGGTCAGATCCAGGAGGCTGCCAGTGCCATCGTCGGTGCCCTGTCCAAACGCCACAACAGCACTGTCATGCTGGCCGTGGTGGAGGTCAAAGTGGAGACGCAGGTCATGCCCCAGTCTGTGGGTAAGTGACCGGACTAGACTTGGGTTAACTGTCTGCATGTTCTTATACTGTGCTTCGATTAGGTAGCATTTCAGTACATGATAGTAAAGTATAATTTTATGGACTTTCTGTCTCCAGACCACCTGGTGCCAGTGCTGTGCGTGGTGTTCAGTGTGCTGTGGATCTTCTGTATCGTGGTGTGTGTGTGGTGGACCCGTAAGAGAAAGAAAGAGCGTGAGAGAGAGTCTGCAGCGGAGGACAGCACCGTCAACAACCAGCTGGAGCCGCTGAGGGTCAGCCAGCCACAGCACAAAGACAACCGAGACAAAGACATTCAGCACGAATGTAAGAAACTCATGAGCCCTCCAGACCGAACGTGTGACGGGGCTGAGGAAGAAGAGGAGGAGGACGGAGAGGAGGAGGAGCTGAGGAGAGGAGGGATGGAGCTAGACAAGTGCTCCACCCAAAAGTGCTCCTTGGCAGGAGTGCAGGACAAAATGATGGCCAAAGGGGGAGTGATCTGTACGATGCGTAGTGCCCCTGTCAAACCACCCCACCGGACAGCGTACAGCCCGAAAGACAACCGGTGTAAAAACCTCAGCGCTGCCAACGTCAGCGAAGACGTCAAAGACCATTATGTATGAGCACGGCCTAGAGATGGGACCTCAAACTAAAGACAATGTCTCCATCTAATAGAAAAACATAAACACCAACAGTGAAGATTTCAGACACGTTTTACATTTAATTTGACATCATTCTTTGTCTGCAACATGGAGGCTTCTTACCTACTAAAAGCATTGCAAATGAACATTTCAGCAACAAAAAGAGACCTGAATTTCAGTTGAAATCACACTGTTTTTTTTTTGTTTACAAACTGTCGCTCCCTTTAAAGGATGGGCTCTTTTTTTCACAGCATGTCACTGAGAAGATTGTGTATCATGTGACTTTGGCGTGAGCACTGCCATTGGAGGACTATGGAGAGCCATTGAATGGCAGCTGTCGTTGTACTACTACATTACTACTAGTGCATTTAGTCCATATCTGCCTTAACCCGCACTGTGGGCCTTTTCTTTGTTCTCTTGGTATAATAATGTCATTTGTATAAGTAAAATGATGTAAAATGTTATATATAAGACCTTTGAAAGCTATAAGCAGCATATAACACCTCATCAGCATTAGTTTATAAACATAAACATATTTTCCATGACATGTCCATGCTTCTAAAGATTTTATGTACAGTATATCCCTTTAACATGCATTTTACTCTACCACTTCCTGCAAGCCTAGATGCTTTATTATTTCACTATTTGCTTTGGTAGAAAGTGCCTTCAGCCCTTCTTTAATTATTTCATCTCATTCAAAACATTTATCCAGAACTTAATAATTAATATGAAGGGAAAATATGTCCTTTCACAACTTTTCATATCACCATAAAGGTTTTTCTTTGAACAATGTATATTTGTAAATATAAAATGGCTATGTATATTTGAATTTAGTAACTTAAGTGACCCTTTTTATTATAGTTATTCTAAAGAATAAGATTGTTTTGTTTGTTTTTTATGATGTCATTCCGTTTTATTAGTGTCCGTTGACACAGGGCTGGTTTTATACAGATTTATGGACAATATCAAGGGTCCCACTTACAGAAACAAATTAGCATTGACAGAAACAAATTATTATAAGTGCTTGTTTGTTTTGCTTTATGATTTATTACTTAAAATTGTGAGTGAGCAGAGCTGTTAGTTCTAGTTCTAGGCTTGTCCTTGTCTGCTGCTTTAGTAGGAGCTATCTGTTGGGAGTTTCCCTAATGAATGCTGGCTCCCCATCTCCCTTTCACTATGCTACAGTATGTGAACATTAGAATGTCCTTTTATATTGCAGGGGTGTACCAGTGCATGGATGGGTTGTGTTTATCTGAATCAGAAACAGTGCTAGCAGGCTTTCATCATTGTGATTTAGGTCGGAATCAGGAGTAACTACAATTCAATTCAAGGCCATTATCAGATCAATCCTGTGGTTTAATCGTTGTCTGGGATGGAGCCTGATGAATACACTGCTGCTTTTCAGGAGCACTCAGTTACCAAGCCCTGCAGTGGTGCACCGGATTTCTGCTTTCAATACTGGTCTAATGAAGGGAACAAGTTTTATTGTTGTTGTTGACGTTGTGGTTGTTGTCCAGTGTTTGTATTATATCCTGTTTCTGCACTAAGACAGGAAGAGAACCCATTGAGCATTACCTCAGCGGTGGTAGTGAAAATGATTTTTGTTGTTCTTTACAGGTTAATATTGTTATTCTCGGACAGGAATTGTCTTTCAAAAATGTTTATGATAAAGGAATTCAAATCATTACCAATATCCAGTCAGCAGAATCCCACTAGCCCCAGAGCATGGGCTGAATGTGCAGAACATTGTAATTATTTTGTACAAAAGAGCAGCTGCATCTTGGTTTGTTAGTGGAATTTGTGTTTGTTCTTAGAACAATCCAATTATTTATTAAAGTATTTTATACCAATATCTTTGTTTTGTCCTCTTTATAGCATTGGAATTTGACCTTACGTTTCAGTTTTCCCATTCATTACCATTAACCATAGCTCTGGAAATAAAATAAAATGTGTTAAATTTGATTTGATGTGTTTACACTGAATCTGCTGTTCCTATAAGATTCATCTTTCTCTAGCTGATTGGTTGTCTATCTACAGACAGACGCCCATTCAGAACCACTAATAAGGTAAGTCCCTTGCATGCATTCATCTGCCCTTATAGGCCCAGTGCAATCAAAAACTACATTTTCCTGTGTTTTAGATATATTTTCACATTATGAGGTGGGAATAATACTGTGAAATTGTGAAAATGATGACAATGCCCTTTTAGTGTAAGCTGTTTGAAAAGACCACCTGAGGCGACAGGTAGCTTAATGGTTAAGAGCGTTGTGCCAGTAACCGAAAGGTCACTGATTCTAATCCCCTTAGCCGACTAGGTGAAAAATATGTCGATGTGCCCTTGAGCAAGGCACTTAACCCTAATTGCTCATGTAAGTCGCTCTGGATAAGAGCGTCTGCTAAATGACTAAAATGTAAGTTTCAGCCTGTTTTAGTGGGATGGAGTTTTGGCATGGTGATACCATGCGGTAAATTAGTTGATAGACCAATAAGCAGAGAGTTCCAAACCTCATGCCAATAACAGCTCATTTTCAGTTTTCCCCTCCCCACTCTGACCACTCCCAGACAGTCCTAGCAAAATTCTTGCTTGAAAAATGTCCCTTTGCTAAGAAGCTATTTTAGTTTACGTTTGACCATTTTAATTGAAAACAATCACAGTAAAGTACTTAATTATTACCTAAAAATGATTTGATATTGAGATAAAAACGGCTGCATTGGACTTTTAATGTAATGATTTACATTAAAATCATACACTACATGATGGCAGTAAGGTAGCTGTGTAGACTCTGTAACGCTCCATGGTTTGAAATGTCTGGAATCCAGGATCAGATATCAGTTAAGTCATGTGTGTACAGTACAGGATCACTGACCTACTTGGTAGTACAATAAAAGAGAGAGAGAGGAGAGGGGGGAGGTCAGGAGGAGCCCATGGCACCCAGTACATGTCACTGTACAGTATGTTTTCCTACCATTCAGTATGTGCTATGTAAGCCAACACCAGATTCCACGAGTCACTGGCTACGGTCAAAGGTATCTGTCCAAGACTGGTCAGCCACCTCTGCTCCACACATATCTAGTATCATACTGTTTTAGCTGTGATTACAACAATGCTGTCTGTTACTAGGAGCAGGGTGTGATACTACATACACTGAAAAAAAAAAAAATGCAACAAATGTATTAGGCCCTAATCTAATAAATTCATTAGGCCCTAATGTATGGATTTCACATGACTGGGAATACAGATATGCATCTGTTGGTCACAGATAACTTTTAAAAAAGGTAGTGGTGTGGATCAGAAAACCAGTCAGTATCTGGTGTGACCACCATTTGCCTCATGCAGAGCGACACATCTCCTTCACATAGAATTGATCAGGCTGTTGATTGTGGCCTATGGAATGTTGTCCCACTCCTCTTCAATGGCTGTGTGAAGTTGCTGGATATTGGTGGGAACTGGAACATGCTGTTGCACATGTCGATCCAGAGCATCCCAAACATGCTCAATGGGTGACATTCTGGGGAGTATGCAGGCCATGGCAGAACTGGGACATTTTCAGCTTCCAGGAATTGTGTACAGATCCTTGCGTCATGGGGCCGTGCATTATCATGCTGAAACATGAGGTGATGGCGGCGGATGAATGGCATGACAATGGGCCTCAGGATCTCATCACGGTATCTCTGTGCATTCAAATTGCCATCGATAAAATGCAATTGTGTTCGTTGTCCGTAGCTTATGCCTGCCCGTACCATAACCCCACCGCCACCATGGGGCACTCTGTTCACAACGTTGACATCAGCAAACTGCTCGCCCGGTACAGTTGAAACCAGGATTCATCCGTGAAGAGCACCCTTCTCCAGCGTGCCAGTGGCCATCGAAGGTGAGCATTTGCCCACTAAAGTCGTTTACGACACCGAACTGCAGTCAGGTCAAGACCCTAGTGAGGATGACGAGCACGCAGATGAGCTTCCCTGGGACGGTTTCTGACAGTTTGTGCAGACATTCTTCGGTTGTGCAAACCCACAGTTTCATCAGCTGTCCGGGTGGCTGGTCTCAGACGATCCCGCAGGTGAAGAAGCCGGATGTAGAGATCCTTGGCTGGCGTGGTTACACGTGGTCTGCAGTTGTGAGGCCGGTTGGACGTACTGCCAAATTCTCTAAAATGACATTGGAGGTGGCTTATGGTAGAGAAATGAACATTTAATCTGCTGGGGAGGAAGATGCATCTGGTGAAAAATGGACAGCCCATTCAAGGATCTCCTACGATCCCACAAGTGAGGTGTATCCACATGAGGTAAACACAGTAGTGGTGGTGGTAGTGGTGGTGGTATTGGTGGTAGTGGTGGTGGTATTGGTGGTAGTGGTGGTGGTTGTGGTGATGGTTGTGGTGGAGGTGGTGGTGGTGGGTCAGTGGACCAGGGTTGTGTCCAAAGAGGCACCCTCTTCTCTAAATGGCATCCCCTTCCCGGACACAAACCCCGGTCAGTAATAGAATGATCCAGGTTAATGTAGTGTCCACATCAGGTAAATACATGGGACGGTCAGTAATAGACTAACCCAGGGTAGCTAGCGTAGTAAGGGCTATCCCAGTGCCAGGGCATCCCATGCATCACCGGAGTACCCAAGGTATTCCCTGACCTGATGCTGCTTTTAAACACAATGACCCAGATACACAGGCCTGAACCCACCCAGGCCTTAATGACTTTACCCGACGATACTCCTCGTAGAAGGCACTCTCTACACACCTATTTTTGCCCAGATCATTGGCACAGATCACAGTCAGGAAGGACAGCAGGCAGGGGATGATGAAACAGAGCTGCTCCTGTTGGACCATGTCCTCTCACTGTCAATCCTAATAAACACACTCAGTCTCACAAAACGTCACCTTAACACAACATGCTGGTTATTGCTTAATGAACAGATCAGTATGTTTTTATTGGAGTGATTTCGCAATGGCGTCACCAGATTCAGCATCAGAATAGCAGCAGCAGAATAGAGTAATAATGGTAAGAATTCTAAGTGGAGGGAGTGTCCTGGATAGCGTGTGTGGAGAGAGAGAAATATTTCAGTCCCGAGGATAGTGGGAAAGTGAAAGAGGCTAGATTCAGTGAGATTCCTCCTCATCTCAGAGGGAGCTGCTGCCACACCTTGGTCTGTGCTGGCGGCAGGCCCACGACTCCTCCCGTGATGGCCCAGAGAGGGTTAGAGCTGAATCCACATGTTCAAACAGAGATGAAAGGTGTTGTTAGGATGGTGTCAATGCCAATACAACCGCCTGCCAAGTAAGACCTACTTAGTGCAATCCCAGATGTTCCTGACACTGAGTATTCTCCTGTGAAATGCAGAGAGGGGGCTTCTGCCCGACCCTTCACATCAAAGTCTGGGAGGAGGACTCAAAACAATGAGCATTTACAGTCCTCCTGCAGCTCCAGGCTTTTCATGCTGAGAATTTTTTAAATATTTGATTTAGTACAGTAATAAGAGGGTAGGGTCCAACATCGGAATAGCTGACGTTGATTCATATTTCCTGTGAGTATGCATTTTTAGGCAGAAGGAAAAGTAATGTGAGCCAAGACATTCTTTACAGTAAGGCGACCCCCGCATCCCCTTCCTAATAACTTCATTATCTATGTCAGGGGATGTCCGTCAGTTAGTCCCCCCTCCTATTACAAAAACATCTGTATTAACAACACAACATCTGCCTGATGGAGTAGTCAGTCACTCCTGTCTAACAAAGCCCAGTCTGAGAGCAGTGCTATGGTTTAGAGTTTCTGCATTGGAAAACATGCAGCTCTCACTGACTACTGTAAGTGATCAACTTTTTAAGTTTACTTATCTAAGCACAAACAGCTTGAAAGTTCAAACAAAAAAGTAAGTTAGAATGTCGTAAAACCTTTACAAAGCTATAACAGTAAAAATCCACCTGGTCCTGGTTCAGCAGATAGTAACAAGCGCTCGGGACCTTATAAAATCATAATGTAAGTGTTTAAGACACAGCCTGCCTCTCTTACATGCACATTATCCCCCAGGCTACATCATTACAGACAAGCCCAAACCAATAGAGCAGGGATGGGCAACTTTGATTGGGGTGGGGGGTCGCTGCATTGGCTCGCGGGTCTGCATACCCACATACCCACATCCATACACACACATGCAGTCAGAGCCAGCCCTAGCCTTTTGGGGGCCTCCACGTTAAGAGCAAAATATTTTAGCGGCCCCCATCTTCAAAATGAAGAGAAAAAAAAGTATTGAGTTAATTTCCTGGAATTATACACATTTTGCCATGGGGTGTAGAGAAAATGTTACAATTTTAAAACAAGTTTGATGCAATTCTACTGATTTTGCCATTGGGTTGAGAGAAACATTTTCAGTTTACAGCCAATTTCCTGCAATTCTAAACGTTTTGCCATAGGGTGGAAAGAAATGTTTGCCGTTTTTACACATTTCG